TATGTTAAACTTTAAGTCCCTAAAGAATATGACAAAAAATTAAAATATATTTAAAAAATAGGAATAAAGAATTATATATGTTTACTCATAAGTCCAGAAATCTAACCATATACATTGTTGCAGGACAGTCCTGCAACACTCCTTTTCCTGTCTCCTGCCTTCAGTCACCATCCCCTTCGTTTTTAAACAGTCATCTCCCCGAGAGACAGCACGGCAGCAGCTGGCATGTCATGACAAGCAGCACGTATTCAGAAGACAACAATGACAGGCACTCTAAGCATGAACCTACTATTACAAATTGCCATCTTCAGTGCAGTTGCTTAGTTCACAGTTGTCAGTATATATAGTTACTCAGGGTGAGAATCCTTCCAATTAACTGCTAGCTTCGAAAATCTTCTGAAGATTCTCAGGACCATTGCCTTGCTCATCTTTTACATATAACTGTATGGCTTGACATTGTCATGTTTCCTAGCTCTTCTCCTTACTCTCTCTTCATTGTCTAGTCCTTAAGTTCTTGCTTTCCTTTTAATTGTATTAAACCTTTCTATTTGTATTTCTTCTTTTTAGTTCATATACTAGGGAAACTATACGATATTTACACATGTGTGTCTGGTTTATTTCACTTATGAGTGTATCTTCAAGTGGCATCCACTTCAATATAAAGGCTTCAAGTTTATCATTCTTTACAGCTGAGTAATACTCCATTGTATAAAAGTGCCACATCTTTTTCATCCATTCCTCAGGTGATGGGCATCTTGGTTGTTTCCAAGATTTGGCTATCACAAATTGTGCTGCTATAAATATATGCACACATATATCACTATAATATGATGTTTTCAGACCCTCCTGGAACATTCCCAGTAAAAGAATAGCTAGTTTAAATGGGATGTCCAGTCTTAGTTTTCTAAGGAATCTCCACACTGACTTCTATAACAGTTGCACCAGTCTACATTCCCATCAGCAGTGGAGAAGGGTTCCTTTTTCCCCAGGGCCTCTCCTTGTTGCTTGATTTCTTTATGACAGCCATTCTTTCTGGGATGAGATGATATCTCAAAGTTGTTTTAATTTGCATTTCACGGACGGTTAATGATGTGGAGCATTTTTTCTTATATTTATTCACTTCTTTAATTTCATCCTCTGAGAAGTGTATTTTCATCTCAGATGCCCATTTCTGGACTGGGTCTTTAAATTTTGGGGCCCTAATGTTTTTTAGTTCATTATAAATTCTAGAGAGCAGACCTTTGTCTCAGTATTTATTTGTCATGATTTTTTCCAAATTTGTGGGTTGCCGTTTCACTTTGTTGTTAATTTCCTTTGATGTGCAAAAACTTCTCAAGAAGAGCAGGTCTCAGTTGTTAATTCTTTCAAGTGTTTCCTGTGTGATTTCATTTTTGTTCATGAACTCTTTGCCTACCCCTGTCTTCAAGAGTTCCTCCTACTTTCTCTTCCAGGAGATTTAGTGTTTCTGTTTTAATATGTAGATCTTTAATCCATTTGACTTTAGCTTAGGGCATGGTGGTAGATCAGGGTCAATGTTTAGTTTTTAGCATGTAGAGAGCCAGTTTTTCTAGCACCTTTGTTAAAGAGGCCATCTTTCTTCCAGTGAGTATGTTTGGCCCCTTTGTCAAAGATAAGATAATGCTGAGTGTGTTCGTAGGGGCTTCAGGGTCTTCTAATCTATTCCATTAATCCTCTGGTCTATTTCATTGCTAGTACCATACTGATTTTATCACAGCTTTGTAGTATAATTTCAAGTCAGAAATTGTAATGCCTCCTGCCTTGTCTTTATTGCCCAGGATTGCCTTTGCTATTGTAGGTCTTTTCTGGTTCCAAATAAATTATAGGAACGTCTTCTCTAGGTCTGTGAGGTATGTTGGTGGTAGTTTGATAGAGATTGCATTAAATCTGTACAGCAATTTTGAGGGTATGGCCATCTTCAAAATGTTGGTTCTTCCTATCCAGGAGCATGGAATATATTTCCATTTTCTAAAATCCTCTATGATCTCTTTTGTAAGAGTACTGTAATTTTCCTTGAAAAGATCTTTGACTTCTTTAGTTAGATTAATTCCAAGGTATTTTATTTTCCTCAGGGCTATTGTAAAAGGTACTGTTTCTATAATTTCCATCTCTGTGTGTTTGTTATTTGTGTAGAGGAATGCTGTTGACTTTTGCATATGGACTTTGTATCCTGTTATACTACTGGATTTCTGTATTAATTCTAGTAGCTTCTTGGTGGAGTTTTTTGAGTCTTCCAAGTAATGTATCGTTGTCATCTGCAAATAATAATTTAGCTGCTTCTTTACCTATTCTTATTCCTTTTATTTTTCTCTCTTGTCTAATGGCTCTAGCTAATGATTCCAAAGCTATATTAAATAGGAGTGGTTATAGAGGACATCCTTGTCTTGTACCAGATCTAAGAGTGAAAGATTTCAGTTTTTCCCCATTTAGAATTATGTTAGCCATTGGGTTTTCATAAATGGCTTTTACCAATTGAAGTAGAGGCCGTCTATTCCGATTTTCTGTAGGACTTTGAACAT